AGAGCAGGCTCGTCATTTGAAGATTTTTCAAGTATTTATCCTGACGTAACATTCTCAAGACCAGACAAATTCGGTCATCTTTTGATCTTTGCTCTATTCTCGTTACACGACAATGAACAAAGAGGGGCAACTGTAGATGCTTAGTTTGTCTGGGTAGTTAAGAAACCAGAAAAAATTAGAGGGAACGATTTGTAGAGAGTGGGGGTATTGTGAGTTAAAAAAAAACTGTAAATGGGGGATGGTCAGTTTTTTAGATAGAACCATCACAAATTACATGAGGAGGAAAGGAGAAGACCATCTGGTAATCAGAGAGAGAAAAAAAAAAGAATTCCTGCTTCATAATACATCCATTTTTCAGCAAATACAAAAACAAAAAATTTCAGAAGCATTGAATATCATTCGGAAATCATTTGCGCTTTTGGTTGTAAAGGAAATAGAAATTAAAAGAGAGAGGTGAGTGATTTATTACCTGAGAATTAGTAGAATTTTCTATAGTGGTAAAGAGATCCCAACACCATAAAATCAGATTGGGAAAGAGGACTTGGCCCTTAATTTTACGAGAAGCAATAAGCAAAGAAGAAGGTATTTCATTTTCAATCTTTAATCTTTTTTAGCTATATTTTATCCCATTTGGAATTAAAAATTGGAAGAGATTTAGTACTTACCTAAGGCAATCGAATTTCTTGTAAAATAACCACAATGCTCAGACGAAACCTCCGTCACCGAGGACTGAGAAAATCTGTACAGTGAGGAAGAAGATTTTTTTTTTTATGCATGTTCTTAGTAAATAAATAAGTTAGAGGAATGAGGGGGTCTCGAGTTACCTTTGTCGCGTTTTAGTTGGAGTCGAAACTGTTGGTGTAGACATGATCACTTAGCTAGGTTTAGGTTTCTTGATTGTTGGAGTCTCTTTGGTAGAGAAGATAGGCGGTTGAAGGCTGGTGACCATGGTGGTGTAGGTTGACCATCGGGGTAGTTGAGAGAGAGGGAAGGGATTGAGTGTAGAAAAGAATGCTTTGGTTCGATTGGGGTCTGGTTTTGAATGCTTTCGGTGATGGTTGAGTATAGTTTAGGTAAGAGTGGTCACCATGAAACGGCGGCTTATTGTGCGGCGGTGAGGACATCTTGGTGAGCGACGCTATGCACGGCTGATTGTGTGAGGAAGAAGGAGAGTTAGGCAGTTGAGAGTGATAGAGAACGGCGAGGAATTCGTTGGGTTAGATATTAGGGTTGTGTCTAAAGATTAAACGCCGTCGTTTCAGCCGGTACATTCTTAGTTTCTATTTCTGACCCAGTATTATGCGCGCATTCCATTTCGGTCCCCAAAATCAGGCATTTCGAGCTTTGTTGTCATTTTAATATGGTCTCTTAATTTTAAACGGTTTATATCTTAGCCCAGAATCATGTTAGAGCCATTTTCGTACTGTTTTACATTGGTTGTGTAATTTACGGAACTTTTATTTTGGTCCTTGAACGAATCTTTTGCACCTTATTAATTTTGTCTTCATATTTATGAGCGCTTTTCATTTTAGTCCTGAAATGTTTTTATGTTTTATTTTTGAAATGTAATTTGTAATTTTGGTTGTTTGACAATTTAGTCACTTAGCATGTTTTTTAATTTAATAGTTAATTCCTACTTTGCATGCTTAGTTTAATTTTATTTTATTATGGTCATTCATGGTAATTTTGAATGTGAAGTCGAGTTATTAATATTATGTTTTATTGTATATATGGTTTTATTCTAATGTATGTTAATGTCGTAAATACATATTTTTTTATTTTTTTTATTTTTTTAGAAATTTGTTTGAGTGCATGGCATATTTTAATTAGTTTTTGCATGACATTATTTTGCATAATATGCATGATAACCTCATTTGCATAACTTGACATATATCACATAATTGGATTAAGGGTAATACCCTTTTAATTTAAAATTGTTGAAGTGGGCAGTCATAACTGATTTGAGGTCCGCTTTTAATGATTTTAAATTAAAAGTGTATCCCGAAAGTGAAACCAAAAAAATTGATTCGTCACCTAAAATTTGGGAACGAAAGAAAAAGAAATGTTCGTTTATTTAAATATATCGAGAAAAGGTTGTTATATCTTTAAGATCTGGTCTCGATATTTGTAGATAATCGAACATTCTTTATCTTTCTAAAACGACTTGGTAATTTTAATTTAATTATTTTGAGTGCTTTTGAATGTTTTAAATTTACATTTTTGTTTTATGGGATCAAAATTCAAATTAACTTCGAATTTGTAAAGTTCATTGCAAAAACGTTAATTAATCGATTAGGTACCGATTTAGGGCGTTGTGGGGGTGCTAATCCTTCCCCACACGTAACCGACTCCCGAACTCGGATTTTGGTAACACATACCTCAATTTGTTGTTTTAATAAAAAATAATTTTTATTTAAAATAACAAACATTTTTGGGTGCCCAATCACACCCTAATCAAAGATTGGTGGCGACTCTTTGAATTATATTTTTTCGATCATAAAAGAAATCTGATTTTTTTTGAAACGAGAGGTTTTCAAATCACATTTGTTTTTAAATTAAAACTCAATTGAAAGAGGTAAATTACAAATTAATGTGGCTTTTAAATCTCACCTTTTTTTCACCTTCAAGAAAAAATCGTTTCGACAAGTTCAATACTCGTTATGACAGCTTTCCAGGCTCGAGACACTAACCTCACATTCAAGTAATTAATCCTTGGAACTCTGGCAAGAATCTGATGAGATATCTCATCAGGAAGGCTGGGAAACAATCTCAGATTCTCTTCGAAAACAGATGATGACAACTTCTGCCTTTTGCACGTTCTGTCTTGCGAAACATCCAAGGGCTCACTCATTCCAGCCCTGGAATTGTTTAGACTTAAGAATGCCCCCATCGACGATATCTTAATCGATCGCAATATATTAATACATCAATGCCAGAGCAGCCTTTGATCGCTAAAGATTTTAATTAACACAAAAGTTTATCCTACATGAACCTGTTCAAAATCATCAAGACTCGAATTAAAAGGCGACAAATAATATTTTCCACGAAATCGACAAAAAGAAGAATTAAAGGAACAATCAAAGAGCCCCCTTCTGAAAAACTTCCCTTTTCATAATTTGCCCAAATAACTCTGTTTTAGAGCAAATACTCATCAAAAATTGGCTGATCATTTTCTTCTTTTAAAGTTTTTCCTTATCATTCAATAGATTGTTTATCAGAAGTTACTTCTTCAAGCATGCTTGATTTTTCTCAGAAACCAAATAAAAGTCAAATAGAAAAGGTCAATGTTTTGATCACTTCTCATCCAGCAAGAACAAAAGAGAAATCCCCAAATTACCAAGTTCAGCGATTCAAGAAGGTTTCTTCACAAAATCCTCAAATAATTTTGTTTTTTTGCAGTAATCGTAAAGATGAGACAAGTAACAGCTAAATTAAAACGAACAATTTACCTACAATCAATTTGACAGCCATGAAATGAATTGAAGAATAAACTAAAGAACCCACCTTCTGTGTTTTCATCCCAAGTGACAATTTTTTCCAATAAAACGGCTAGAACAAATTCATAAGCAGTAGAATCGCGGAAAACTAAGCTAAAGAGCAAAAGAATTTCTTTAACGAAAAGGAAAGAATTGAAAGTGGAAATAGGGTTAAAAAGAATGTAACCTTAATATTCACGGCAAGACGAAATGAGCCAGTAGACGAATCATTTGAGGTTTTGACCAATCCATTGGTAATATGTACAAGGACGTAAATCTGTTCTCCATGAACAACATTATATATAAAATTATTTTTTCTCTATTACATTTCTATATATATTAGATTTTGTCACTTATTTTTCATGTAATTAATTATATAAAATGTATTTATAAATTTTAATTTATTAAAGGCTTAGGTTACTTTTACCTGTAGATCTAATTTATTATTTTTATTCTTATGATATTTTCACATCAATTTAATCATCAAAATTATTTAGGAGTATCATCTTAACTCTTAAAGTCTGTTTTGACTAACAAAATCGTTAGTTTTCTGTGTTCGAAAACTTTCACGTCAGTCAGTATTACTAACGTGGCTTAGTGATGTCGTAACATTTATTAAAAAATAAATAATAAAATAGTCAAAATATTTACTAGACACAATAGTTAGAAAAAATCTCTATAATTTTAACTTATTCCCTTAATCTCATTAAAATAAATAATAAAATTTTGATACATTTTTCTAGCCATTAGTAAATATTTTAACCTAATTCCTTAATCCACATACACATATGACTAACCATTCTGTTAGTCAAAAAACTAGGATGATGCCCCTTATGTATATAAATGGCTCTCCCTGTAACTGATGAGCATGGCTCCAAGGAGACTGGAACTTTTAGTAGTTCTTTGTCATGTCGTAGGTCGGAGAGTTCGTGTACATGCACAAGGTGGTGCCTCTTTTAATTTCTCCCTTATGGATTCGTTATCCGAACCTAAGAAACATGTTTTAATTTGGCTTATCTTACTGGTTGGGTTTCGACTGTGGAATTGGCAAACTATACTAATAGGAATCTCCTTGTTGATCGAATCCTCTGGGCCAGCAGTCTGCTGTTAATGTGGGTGGTGCTCATTGCGGTTGATGTAGTGTGGATATGTTGTTCAAAATTGGAATTAGAACCCCAAATTCATGTCTATTCTCAAATTTAGCTTTCTAGGAAGATATCAGAATTTTCTTCGGCTTTTGGCCCAAAGCCAGACTTTGTTCAAAAGGCCCAAAGCGTGCCGTAGACAAAGACAGGCACGCCGGGACCACGAAGATTGCATCGGCAACGACTACGAGACGCCCATCAATGAGTTCACATGGCAGATTAACATGGTGGGGACTCAGCATAATCTTTCAATTCAAAACCATATAGAAAACTAGAAATATTTAATGGGAGATCCATACACAACACAATACGAGTTCTGAATATCAGACTAATATACTCAAAAGGATGGGTCCAAAACCTCATCACCATATCAATGATATCTAATATTACAACCACAACATCAAAACCAAAGGGTAAACACCATAAGATATAACATAATTACGAGGCCTAAGATAAGAGATCCGATCGAGACAGTAAGAAACGGAGCGCCTGAGCTGCCCGGAGCCGGTGCCGGTGCCGCCACACTTGCTCCTCCTGAGAATGATTCCGGCGCACCTGCTACTGCTGATGGTGCCATACCTACAAGTTTGCAAAGGGAATTAAACAGTGCTTCAACAAAAAGGGTCATCAAAACACTTTAAAATTCTTGAAATTTTGGTTTTTAAAGGATAAAAGATGCATCAGAGCATACCTGGAGCACCAGCAGGAGACACTGCAAAATTAACAAATAGTATTAGTCATCAGTTCTAAGACACAAAATCTGGTTTTTTAAAATAATGTATGAACATTTACAGCAACATAAAATGACAAATTTGCCCAAAAAAGATCACAACTTTGGTGAAGCTTGTACAAATCTTTGCACCTGAAACCCCATGCAATTAGACATTCACTTCCCCAGCAAAAATTAAGCCACACTTTCAACCAGAACCCGAGTTAAAGCCATGTTAACTCACATGCGCAGGTAGTGGCAGAAACAGCAGAGACTTTACAAGCAGCAGGCAAAGTCATGGCCTTTGTGACATTCAAAGTAACACCCAAAGAAGCGCTGCTCTTAAAAGCCTCGCACAAGCATTCGGGTCCAGATTTCAACACAGTTTTCAACCCGGAACAGCACGACCCCTGGGGCTTCGTATCCTTGCTCCCACTCGACACGAACGACAAACAATCAGCCATGTTGAGAGTCAGAGTGGAGCAATCCACAGAGGGAGACGGCGCAGCCGCATGGTGGTGAGCGGCATCGACGGCCCAGATTGAGAGAATGGCGAGGGACAAAGCAAGAGAGAATTTTGAAGCTGCCATTGTTGAACAGAGGAAACAGCAGTAGCAGGGGAATCAACAAAAGAGTGGGTTATTTGGGAAGAAGAAGAAAAAAGGAAGCTCTTTTGTGAGGGAAAAGAGTGGGGGAAGTGGGGGATTTATTGGGGACAGAGACAGAGAAAGGCACACTCGTCGTACAATGCAAAGGGAGAAGGGTGTATGTGTGAAGGTTCCCTTGATCCAAGTTTCTTACCCATATCAAAACAAAATAAAAAGTTTTTGAAATCTGAATTCAAAATTATATTCATTTTAGGTAAATTACACTTCATACTATTAAATTTTAAGTTGTGTATTATTTTTATCATTAAATTTTATTTTTTAATTACAATATCAAATTTTCATTTAAACGTCAATTATGTAATTGACATGTTAAAATTTAAATGTTATGATTATATAAATAAAACAATATCATTTTGGTATAATTATTAATATTTAAATGGCATTCTTTAGGGAATTGAACTTTAAGAGTATGTTGATTTTTTTATTAAACTTTTAAAAAATTAATTTTTCGACATATTTTTTTACCATCACCGACAATCAATCACCTCTCATCATCAATCATCTTTTGTGTATTGAAACGTTCGCGTTTCACTCAACATTCTTCGCCTATAATCGATTTTTCACATAACTTATTTAAAATTGACGAAATTAAATAAAAAAAAATCTACTATTTTTAGGGACTTGGAGACTTTCTTAGGTTTTAGGAATTATGTTTGTTTGTTCAAAAATGTGAACGGTGAGAAGCATTATTTCGAGAAGACTAACAACATTCATAAAAACTAGCATCATCGAACGATCATCATAAGAGATCGAAATATTAGAATGTCAAACTTTTAAATCGATTTTTTATCAATTTTGAGTGAGTTTCGTGGAAATCAATCCTAGAAAAAAATTGACTGAAATATAAATGTTTTAGCACTGATCTTGTCGCGAAAGACAACGAGTGATGGGCAATGATTTATTATTGACAACGGTCGAAAAAGTGTAATGTCAAAAAATGATTTATTTAAAAATTTAGTGGCAAAATCAATACACCCCAAATTTTGTATCTAAAATAATGTTATTTTATGCATCAATAGTCGTTCCCAAAACAATGTCAATTTATGCATGTCATCGTAGTAACAAAATTATATGTACATATTATCATGTTGTTAAAATTTAACAACTCTGTGATATAATCAAAATTAAAATTAAAATATAATATTATAATTTTAAGAAATTAAAAATTTAATAATATAAATAATATACGATCTAAAGCTTAATGATATTTAGTATTTAGCTTTTATTTTATATATTTGAGTTCGCATAAACAAAAGTTTATACAATTGTGGCCAAAGGGGTTTCTGTCACCTACCCAAGAGTCTTCCAAAAATGAGACTATAAAGTAGGAAAAAAGGAAACAACCTTAAATTCCTTATTTTTTTTTGGTATTTTAAAACAATAATTTCTAATAAAGTAACAGAAATTTTGCCTTACCTATTAAGAATTTCTATTTTAAAATCTTCTAATCCTATATTCAAATTTCACCATAAAATTCATGATCATTTTATAAAAAATTGAATTCTATTATTTATCTCTAATATATATATATGAATTTATTTTATATTTTAATTTAATCGCATTTTATTCATTTAACTTTACTTTTAAAATTTTAATTTTAATAAAAAAATATAATAATAAGACAAATTATTATATACTATAAAAATATCGATCAATTAATTAAAGACATTTCAGATATTATGTCAAAACATTTGTAAAAATTTTGTATGTAAGATATCGTCAGTGTTGCAAGATACGATGAAATAGACCGTTCTTTCTTTATCCGGCTGCCCTGGCATGCATTATATGTAATGATTCCAGATGCTTATGGTTACAGGCTATGTTAAAAGGGGGAACCAAACCCAGACAAATGTCCTGATAAAATGCGTTATTTAATTATATAATACATATATTTAATTTAAATTCGAGTTTTTTAAGATATTATTCAGAAAAACAACCATAGTGTTAAATTGATTAGTTTTTTTTTAATTTATAAAATATATATCAATTTATATAGTAAAATAAGACATTAAATATTTTAAATAAAATATAAGATTTAAATGTTGGTCTTATGAATAAACTAAATTGAATTAAAAAATATTTTTATAATAAACATTCATAATACTTAATCAAATATAATATATTAATAAATCAAATATTAATAGTTATATCAAAATAAGAAACCTGATCAATATCTTAATTAAAAAGAAAAATATGGACAATTTTGCGTGTAACGTGTTTCTAATTGTTATTCGTGTTTCTCGAATCGTCCAGCGCAATAACTAAACTAAAGACATTAAGGAATTTCGATTCTAGAAGGAGCTTGAAAAGTGGAGACTCAGTAGCTCGATACCAAATTTTTAACAAAAATTAGAAAATTAGTTTAATTCTTAAATTTTCTATTTATACTAACTTTAGAATTTTTTATTCTGAAAATAGGTTTATCAAAATTTATACTAATCCACATTTCAAGATGAAATATAATATGGTGATAAAATAAGATTATCAGAGGGTTCAGGATAAACAATAGGTACGAAATTATAGAGTAACTTGCACTAAACTTTATACAGAATCCCATCCATACCTTGGTATTATTTATCAGAAATAACTTATTCCCCGTGACCGAAAAGCACTATGTCCACCATCCTAGTAAAGTATCTGCATTTACAGATGCAATCAGTACCCCCATGCCTACATTTCAACAATTGACTAATTGAAGATGCAAGGGTGCTAGAGAGGTTGTGCTGGCCTACCAGGAGCTTTGGCAACCCGAGTTCAATTATTTATCAACAAATGGCTAGTAGACGACATGAATCCACGGTGGTCTTAGCTCCTTTCACGGGAAAGTAATTAGACAGAATGAGAGGATAATGTTAGGACCCTTATCGATAACATGTAATTAACACCTGGTAATATGCAAAAACATGAAAACCAATCACGTGTATGGAACACCTACAGTACATGGATATAAGAGTGCAGTATTCCAAATATGTGAAAACTTTTGAAAGAAGTAACGCATTCATATAGGAAACACATCTGTATTGCATGCCCGAGTTAGGGTTACAAAGCTGACATGAAATACATATGATCAGAGGCAATGCATGTGCAGAGAATACTGTTTTATTATCTACTTAGTTCCCTAGCTGTTGGTCGAATTTGAGCTATTGGATTCTCTATGGCCTTCCACAGCCAGATATGATACGTGAAGCTATGAAGAAACCACAGATGATTCTGTTACAAATATGAGCATTTCCGAGCGACACTCATAAATGTTAAACTAGGGCAAAGAGAACAAACTTACTGTACATGATTACTGAATCGCCTTTTCACCACCGACACAATAACAATCACATCATCAAGCTTTCCGCCCCTATATCCCACATACCCAGCTGCCTGCACTTCATCTGATAATGGACTCCTAACCAATGATAACTGACCAACCTCTTGCGATCTAGTTGCCAAGAGTTCTGCTATTTCCTGCCCACAAAAGAAATGTGGGGTTACCATGCACATAGCCTATATTTTATTATTTTGAATATGCAACTGATGCATTTTACAGCTATATGTGGGAAAAGCACCTGGGGCCTCAAATTCTCTTGCAATGATCTGAAGACAATTGAAGCTATATCTTTCCCGTAAAGATTATCAAAAAGTCCATCAGTTGCAGTGATTATCACATCATTTTCATCCAAGTCAATTCTGTAAACCTGCAAGAAATCAGTAGACATGCGTAAAAAGATTGACCACATTATTTTACTTTCACTTCCTAATTTAAATGAAATTCAATAAATGTTTGCAGAAGATATAGTGTTGCGCAAATCAACTTTTCAAAGTGCAGGAGACAATTATAAATATCTTTTAACTTTCAATATATTAATATAATATATATAACTCTTATTAGAAATGGAATTCAAACAGTATACCTCCACAAAGTCGGATGGATAATCTCCTCTTTCAATCTGTACAGGACAATTCAATTCACAAAGCATTGGGGAAGACCTTTTAAATACAGCGCCGTTTCTTACGATCATGAAGCCTGACTCACCAATATTGGCCACATGGAGAGCCTGCAGATCCATAGAGGCATAGCCTTCCAAGAATAAGTTGTAGAAAGGAACACCTAGCTCATTCTGAGCTCTGATTTATTTTTTTCATTTTCTTGATTAAAATTAGATCTAGCATTAAATCACTAAGAAAATAAATATATTCATCCCAACGAAGTAGATTGACTGGCTAACAATTAGCATCAGTTGTCAGCCCATGCATATTTTGACCGACAGCAGTTTTACAAATAAGACATGCGAGATAAATTTGAGTGTAAGCATGAGCATTATGACTTCTGGAAATACGTTGTCTCTAGACCCAATACCAATATGAACAACTCTGCTTCAATCACACGAGTAGACACGCTCTATCATTTAATTATGAAGAACCTTCTTTTGTATATTATAAGAAATGTTCTCAAGTCCATAAAGCAAAGTTTTGAAAAAAACCATCATTCGTGCAAATGAGGCCCCCAATAAGAAATTGAAAATGTTTTGTTAATTCATTAATCTTGTACTTCACACAGACAAAAGAAGTTCAGAGAAAAAAATTGAGCAATTAAGTTTCATTAAATGAAAAGTCTGTATATTAAGTTACCATTCCTCCAGTAAAATTAATGAGGCTTCCTTATATTTCTGACTCAAGGCTTGTTAGTAATATCCTAGATTTGGTAGTCATTGGCTGCCGATAGTGAGCCTAGTTTGATTAGGATTAGGCTGTAAGTTATTTCATTGATACAACGACTAAATGAAAATTGCATAGGAGAAAAGCCTGTCAAGTTGAATGACAACATACCCGATCATCAAAGTAAGCAACCAAAACTGTAGATAAACCACAAGTTTGAGTATTTGCAGCAGCTCTATTAAGGACCTCAACTGGGTCAGTTATTGGATTCGGAACTCCATTTCTATCACACACAATTCTTTCACAATTTTCCGTAAGTTCTTTTGCATATACTCCAACACTAATCCCTGAAGGATAAGATAGGAAACAAATAATTCGGTCCAAAC